ATTTAATGATTGTTTAGCCTAATTTTATGTTACACAAACAATGGAACGAACAGTCAACGCATAGACAAGACGAGTAATGCGATGCTAAATTGTGCAAAACGATCTGTATAGTTCGCTGTAAAGAATCGTGAAAGTACTGGAACAAAGGGCTTGGAGATCGGGTGTGTTCGCGAAGTAATATAAGACTGAGATAGAATTGTCACCATTCCCTTTCATAGCTTCTACAATAAATATATCAATCAACATTAAGTAGTAAAGAGGAAGTGAGGTAAGGGATGTTGGGAGGTTGAAGGTGTCGTAATATTACTTACTCACTTGTTGATACAATAAGTAAAAATTGCTTACATAAAGATTTGTCTGTATGTATTCAGTACGAAAATATACCCGAAAAATCTATCCACGTGCACTGTTCCGGAAAGTTTATCTAATTTGAAATTTTTTGTTACAGATTTTAGACGAGTCTAACTACTGCGAAGGGTCCTAATGTAAAATAACTAAAAAATTACAACGCCAGGAGCACCCAAATGCTGGGCGCGTTGCCTTGCCAACGTGTAACAAGTGCGCAAGAGACACTCCATTGTTTCCCTGGTTCTTTGCTGTTGAGATTTCCTGCAGTCTTCTCGATCTATCTGTCTCATTCTGCAGGCGTGTGTCGCTACCAGACTGTAACCATTAAGTATTTCAATAATGTTCCTACATTCCCTCCTATCGAGTGCCACTAGGAACGTTGTATCTTTCTGACCGCCTAACACATGACTTTTGCAGTGTTTCACCGCATCTTAATTTTCCTTGCCAAGCTCCTGTCCAAATCGTCGTATAGACAATGCATGGGTTTTCCAATGTTGATCAAGTTTTCGTACATCACTCTTGGCTAACTCCTCCACTATGTCATTACCCTCGATGCCTTTGTGATCTGGCTGTCGCGTATTCCTAGCGACACTCTGCAATGCTGCCCTGCTTCTCAAGACACGTCTTCCCGATAAGTGAAACGAGGTTATTGCCTTGATTGCTGCTTGGCTATCCACATACATAGCCGTTAACTCTTGAGTTGCCTGCTGATGCCTTAGAGCCTAGCTCCGCGTCCTTCAAAATAGCATGAACCTCTGCTTAAAATATTCGGCAGTGGTTCATCAGCTTAAAAGGCAGCCTAATGCCTAACTCTCGACAGTATATCCCCACATCAACTCCGTCCTTCATTTTCGAGACATCTATATAAATGTTTATTGTGTTGCGTGCAGCTAACTAACTGCAGCCAGTAGTCGTCTCTTTTCGAAGAGAGCCGCCATGGAGGGAAATTAAATTTGTTATAAGCAACACTTAGATCGCGAAAATCAATCTACACCCCAAAAGAACGCATTCCATTCCCACGGTAAAATCTTTAAGCAGATTTATCTACAATATAAGTAGCTAATTTAGGTTAATTTTAGACTAAAACCTAAAGGGCACAACTAGCTCGACAGCCTAAAATAGGCAATTTTTGGGAATTAAAAACAAACACTGCGGTTTCAACCGATTTAAATTTTTAGGTTTATTTTCAATTATAATACATACATTTTAATTTATATATATACATATTTATAATATATAATTATAACATATATCCTTATTTTAAAATACATAGAAGAAAAAAATTTAACATTTTTCGACGGCGCTAAATGTCCTCCACTGCTGAAATGATTCCGGCCATCTCTGTGGATGACACCAAAAAAAAAATTCTCACTAGAAAATATTATCCGTTTGAAGATTAGCTGATTGAATTGAGCGGTTACATTTTAGAAAGCTGTAACTCGAAAACTATTTAAGATATCAATATAAAATAGTATGGTACTTTTATATGTATAACCTATCGATATATATATAAAACACTGATTACCAATCACTTAGTATAACCAGAAATACTCAAGAATTAGATACTGAGGTGAAGAAGATCGAAACAATTTTAACAACTTCTTTCAACCAATTCACACCTTTAATTATTCTGAGGAATAGGAGGTTCTCTCCTTGGTGGAACAGTGATTTAAAGACCATAAGAACGCAACTCCGAAAAGCCTTTAATAGGAACAAAATTGGGCAACCCTATAAAAATATCATGAAACAATACAAAAAAGCAATTATGAAAACTAAGGCAAACTCATAGCGGACCTTCTGCACATCAATAGAAAGCTGCAAAGAATCTGCCAGGCTGAGCAAAATACTGTCAAAAGAAAACAACATTATTGCATATGGACCTCTTCTGCTGAAGAGTCGCTTGAAGTTTCCATTTCCCGGGAGGTCAGCAATCCATGGTAATGGGTGTTCAACCAGAACAAACCGAAAGTACAGCAGAACAATTGGGTCATAAAGTAAGCAAAGGAAAAATCACATATACCACAGCTTCTTACTATATACAGCGGCGGGTCCGGATGAGATCATTTCTATAATGCTGCAGAAGCTAAAGGAACCAATTGTTCGAAGGCTTGAAAGGATCTATAATGCAAGTATCTGGTTATCTTATATCCCAAAAAGCTAGAAACGAATCAAAGTGGTGATTCTTCCAAAACCAGACAGAAGAACACACGAAAATGCGAAAGATTTTAGGCCTATAAACCTCACTTTCTTGATGCTGAAGGTCTTGGAAAGGCTAATGGACATACACATCAGACCAATAGTATCGGACAACTTATCGACTACAAATGCAGGCATACATAAAGGGTCATTTAACAGAAAGTGCCGTACAAGAGGTGATAAATCCAATAGAACAGTCATTACATCTCGAGCGGTATACAATGACTGCAACAGACAGGCGCGGACTCCGCAGGGAGGTGTCCTTTATCCGCTTTTATGAGTGGTGCATTTGAACAAAATACTAATCCAAATGAAAGGAGGAAGAGTTAAAGCAGTAGCATATGCAGACGATATAGATCAGTGAGACAACACGTGCAACTGTGGGCCGCGAACAACGGACTAGGAGTTCACCCTAGTACTTAGTGGTACTGCAATTTCTTTATCCCACACGGCAGAGTACCTAGGGGTCGAGAACCAAACTGGGCTGAAACAGAGAGCAGCATGTGCAGGGTTTACCGGGGTCATTAAGTCATATCCGACTGATGCATATAAGAATACTGCTGCTATAAGAATAAAGGTGATAGAAAGCTGGAACATTAATAGTTATAGACGAAAGCGATATCCTGAACCAGCTCAAAAAAAATCTAAATAGCTCAGACTATATCCTCCCAAGGTTGGATTTCAATAGTGACTTCCAGGTGAGAATACCAACCAATCGTGAATGAAGAAGAGGTTTTGTAGGGGAGGAGAATACTACCTCAATCTATACCGACGGATGCAAAATAGACTGCGGAGTAGGGACGGGGGTATACTCCGAGAATCTTGATATATCCCACTACTTCCGTCTACTGGTGGAGTTCTACTGAATAACTACGGGCGGATACAGGGAGCTACCATATACACAGGTAGCCAGCGTTGTCAACAAATGTATTAAGGCTATAAGCTCACTGGCAGGTCAATTGCACTTGTCCAAAATTTGGGTTCCCGGCAAGGGAACATTTTCGGCAATAGCAGACGAGTTGGCCATGTAAGGAGCCTCTCTAGAGGATCCTGAAGCGAAGACATTACGATACCGTGTACGCAATTTATACAAATATCTCAGAAGGAATTATACAACCAAATGCAAGATAGCGAAACAGGTTTGGCCAAAATATGATAAGACAAGAACTCATAGATTATTAAATAGGTCCAGGAAAAGCATACATGGACTTACAGACACCATAACGAGGCATTGGCCATTTGAAGAACCCGCGATAAAAATGGGAATGCCTCAGAACACTATTTGGCACAGGAGGGACCAAATTTTGAATGTCTATTAACAAAAAACTTAAAGGAGATAAGTATTTTCATTGAGGGCACAAAATACCAATATTTAAAGCTCTTATAAATAATGTATCAAAATGGCACAGTTTAGTGCTAATTGAGCCCATAGGGGCGACACTCTTACCTACCTACCTACATGATCCTTTACTTCAGTCTAAATCATTGGTCGTCGTTCTCGTAATGATCGTTATTTTAAATAGTTGTGACCAATAATGACCAATCAGTTATAATTAACCTTAAATTTTTATAAAGCATCATGCATATAAGGCATGATACGTTTTTACTCTAAGCACTTTTCTTTCAGCGGGTTTAGAGATTTTTGAAATATTCAACCCTGACTATTTTTTAAGTTTAGAACATTTATTTTAGACAAAGAAATGAAGAATGAACGAAATTTACAATATTGTGACCCTATTTGTTTGTAAGCTTTGTGGAACTTAACACCTGCGTAGCAAGCTCATCTCTTTAACCATATCGAAATTTGTTTCCAATCTCTTAGTACGTAGTCTATCGGAGACAATTTATTTCTAATATTTGTATAATAGATACATTGAAATGATTCGGTCATGAAAAGTTCGTTCCAATGAATGATACACCATCCCACTGAAACCATTTAGCGCTGACGACGTGTGAGACTAAAAATATTAAATTTTCTTGTAATCTCTTTGATGATAATTTTCGCGCCATCTTCTGTTTAAAAAATTACAGCAAATGAAGGCAAATACACAACTTTTTATTTGAAAATTATCTTCACGAAATTTGGAAGGAATTATTTTCCAGGACAACGCTACAATCTCCGAACAAACTGTTCATACCGGACCATTATATGATATAGCTGACTCACCCAAATCAAGTGCTTGTAGGGAAAACATTTTATTTGAAAAGATATCTTCACGAGATTTGGCCAGAATTATTCAAAGACATTCCCACAATTTCCAATCATATTGTTTATATCGAACCAGTATAGCATATTACCATCATACAAAATGACCGATCAGAATTAAGTTTTTTTATGGAAAACTTTTTTAATATGTCTTTCTCACTTTTAAAGCCTTCCTGAAGAATTGGTCACTTCTGCTAGAATAAGCTTAACTATACTCCTCCCACATTGTGATTGAAATCAAAGTCATGTGTTCTTTTCCTTCTGACTAAAGTATTAATAATAAAACTTTATTGATGTAATTAATTTATTTTGCTTACACAGAAACTGCAAAGTGTTGTATATCACTTGCATTTGCACCACTTTCGTTTCAGCATATCTTCACTTACATTTGTATGTATGTTCTATGTATTATATTATATTAAGTATATTCAGTATGTATGTTATGTAAAGATAGAATATATAATCTAAGTGTATATATATATAAGTGTTTATGTAACTTGTAAATTTTTGTTGCCTTTGTTTTTTTAGATTTACAAGACTTGTTAACAATTCGAAAAAAGTTTTACTAGAATTATAAGTAAGCAATGCTTGCTCGTTTGGTGGAATTAATGTAATCATAACGTTAAATTAAAGGAAAAGTGTTGGGTGTAATAATTTAGCAATACAATTCAAAACCTCTTACTGACTATAACAGTAAATAGTTTGTATATGGCATTTATATATGTAAGTATTGTATATATGTATGATGTATGTAAGTGGGGTTGCTGAGCACCGCTTTACAGTTAGTTTAACATTTTTTAGCTTTTATTCTCATTGTGTATTGTTAAATAATCGGTTTTGCTATTTAGTTTAAAATCTTACTTTCATAATTTTACAGTTACTGAACTATGTTTTAAGTACCATATATGTAGGTAAGTAAATGTATGTATTTTTACAACTTACAAGTGAGTGTGAAATCTTTGGCAGCATTCGGTGAGAGCAGCCAAAAGTTCTTCAAGGAATTGCAGTGTGTTTTATGTAGTCAGTTTTGTTGAAGTTTTACACTTTTTTCTTTAATTTACATGAAATTTGCTTATTTTTTCTATTAATATAATTAAATTTACAATATATATTTTTACAGTTTTACCGTTTTACAGGGTGTTTGCGCTCTCTCGCAGGGAGATCTTTGGTACAGTGTTGGATAATGCTTTTGCTTACAGATCTAAACATTCTGGCTGTTAACTTAGTTATATTGAGAGAATCGAAGTTTTTGTTAAAATTATTATGAATGTACGCTTGTTATCGCACATCTAACAACTGCAGCATAATCGCTGGCAATAAATATTTTAGTTTTCATCTTTTTTTCTTCGTCGCTCATACTGGTTTGATTTGTTTCTATAATTTAAAAATGTTTTTACAACTGGAATTCCACCATGTAACGCAATTTCTGTGCGTTTTTTAAAGCTTAGCTTGCTGCATGTTGTTTCTTCTGTTTTTTAATTTGTTTGTTTTCTGGCAATGTTGCACTTTTTAAATAAGTTAAAGCAAAGGTTTTATGACACATTTTGTTAACTGATAGGAGTATTCACACTGTTCTTTCAAAAATTCAGATTTCTTTAAAAAATATATATGAAATAACAAGTTTTTCAGAAGCACTAAAACATAATAAAAAAGAAAGTGTTTCAATTTATATATTATATATGGTATATACAAAGTCCAATACTTTTATTGAAATGTTTATTTTTAGTTGAAGCCAAACCAAAGTTAAGAGTCACACAAGTTTTATAAAATATTATTTTCGATTAAAAAATATAGAAATGTACTTTCTGAATTTCTGACTGATTTAGTTATTTAAAATAAAAATATTTTGCTTAAGGAAAAATGGTCGGTTATAAAAATTTTTAATTCATAGTTATTTGTAATTTCTAATTTGTATTTAGATATATCCAAATAAACTATTTTAGTTTTCTACTTTTGACATTCTGCACCAGAACACAAAGCAAAACCACCCTGAAGTGGCTTAAAAGCAACATTCCAGGTTTCATAGCTGCAGATGATTGGCTGTCTGGAAGTCTAGATTTGAATCACTTGGTTCAAAAGTTTGTGGTCAGAGTTGGATAGTCTTGTATGAAAGGAAAAGGTGACCATTTGAAGTAAAATTTCATCGCTTGTTTATACATGTGTTATTAAATAAAATTAACTGTTTTAAAAGGTTTTAATTCAATAACGAAAGTTTATTCAACAGAATGTAAAGAGGCATATAAGGAATTGAGAGTGTCTAAAACTATAGTTTTGATTGCAAGATAAACGCAAATTCAATACTGTTTCTGAAAGTAGGTATTCTGATTTTAAATGCTTAACCGCTTTTTATCTTCTCATTCAACTACCTTTACATATTATCTTGGAGTTGAAGTTAGAGTATCGACAAATAAAGGTAATTGAGGAATGACACGAAATGGACATTGTACTAAAAGAGCGTAAAGCTGCAAAGACTCGCCCACATATGGTAAGTCCGTGACCATGTCAGCTGAAACGATAAACCTTGTAGGAGTGGTATGCAAATGGAAACTCACCACTGTAGGTGTTCTCCGAAATAAATGTTTCTGTGATTCTTAATCAAAATCGTTATTTGATATCTAGAAAAATCATGAGAAAACATTTTGGTAGCTTTTGACTCAGACTCATGATTGCTGAAAGACTACTCGAACATTACGTGACGCGGAAAGAAATATTTCTCCACCAAGAAAGAGACATAGCACAATTACGCATGCATCAAAAGACATGTTAGCGTAGGGTTGCACCACAAGTGCTGCCCGTTTGTTTGGACATCTGGTAGAGTTTGTTCGATTCGCTACTTTCCCACTCTTGGTGAAGAGAAGACAGCTTTTGTCTATGTTAATTGTGATTATGAATTAAGTATGTAACATTTTGAGCTCAACTTCAAATCTTATTTTGTCAGCCAGTTACCGCGTCGAGCATTCCAACCAATGGACATTGGTTTTTAAAAATGTGACTTGTGGTTCATTAATTAGGCTTCCAATGCTACCAAATCGTTCAAAAGTAATTTAATCAAAAGAAATAAAAAATAAATTATTATATTAAAATGAGTTACTTAGTATGAATACCCCTGAAAAATTTATTTCATACTAATAATAATGTACAGAATTATATACATGTAAATAAAACATATATGTATGCATATATAAAGTATGCCTATGCAATTAAATAGATCATGTAATTAAAATCGTATGTGAATATATTTTGGAGTATAGTACAAGTTTGCGGACAATAATATAATTCGAGCCAGGGTTGCAAAATTTTTAAATTCAAATATTTAAAATCGAATAATCGAATCTAATATGTTAATCCCAACAAACGAATCTAAAATTTAAAATTTAATTTTTAATAATAATTTTTTCAATTAGAATTAAAAATTGGTAAAATATAACTCGTCTGAGTGTATAAGACCAGTGCTCTAGAGTATTGAAAATTATGGCTCTGCGCGAGCTCTAGTTCAAAAGGGTAGAACACGAAGAACGCAAACACAAAAATATGTTAATTCTAACACAGGTTATTTTTTCACTCCTAATTATAAGCTTAGGATTAAAATTTTTATTTTTCAATCCGGTATTACTGATTAAAAATTTAAAAATTATACTTAGCTAAGATTTTCGGGATTACTAAAAAACCTTAACTAAAATGTTGTTTCAATTATTTATTCAATGAATTATTTGCAACCCTAATTCGAGTCAACTAAGTAGTTTTCGAGCAATAAGTTTTGTTTTGATACATTTTTCGCTAAAAATATTGTAATCGTTATGCTTGTTTGTATATAGTATATAGTACTTGTTCATACATGTATGTAAGTACCTCTATATCTCTATGTGATTATGTGTGTTTAATAAAAAGTGCGCTTGGAATTGTTCTCTAAGTGGTATTTGCTTATCTAAAATATTGTTAAATTTTGCAGTTTTTTAAGAATTCTTTTTAAAAGATGCTTATTATCGAAAATTTACGCAATTGGTGTTCTTTTGTTATAATTCTGTTTGCAATTTATAAAATTATTTTTTGCTGTATTTGACATCAAGGTCAAATGTTTATACATGTATTCGTATTGGTATTTTAGTTAATAAATTACTTTACTGTTAATTAATTGTTATGTATTTTCTTATATTTCTTAGTTTTATTTATTTAATTAATTAATGTTTTAAGTCAACTATAATATTTTATAATTTCGAATTATTAATTGTTCTATATTGAAAAGTTTTAATGCCGAATGGCTTAAGGTACTTTAAGTATTTCAATTACAATTGCACGGAAATGTGCGAGAATAAAACCAAAATATATTCCACAGAAAAGGAACTTTTGTTTTAATTTTGCACATTCTGCGGTTTTTTTCCACTGGTGCGCCCTAATTTGAACTCTTTATTTCATGAGTTTAGAAAAACTACAAGAAATTCAGCTTGGTCGCAAATAATGGAAATAAATTGCCGGAACTGTTTCAATAAAAACTGCCTGCTAATGTATTATTACTCCTTAGAAATTAGAACTAAGAAGAAGAACGACTTCATTCGCTTTTTTAGAGGTATTCTTTTGAATACATTCTGGGAATTTCGTTTCCCTAACACACAACATACTACGATGTAGGTAAAATTTATTTATTTACTCTAAGTATAAAGTCTTTAAATTGGATAAATTCTTAGAAGTAATGCTGTCAAAAGGGGGTGACTAGCCAGCTAGATCTACAGATTTGGAATCATCTGAATTTCTTTAGAGTAATTAGTTGGACAACAAAATGGACGTCATTAATCCTAGGTAAGCAAACTGCAAACCTTCGTGCCGAATCACATTGCCCGAGATGCCCGAAAAAGTGAAGGAAAACAAAGCAAATGTAGCTGTGGCCCATAAAGGCGGCTTATTGATTAATCTTGTATTCATAAAATTGTTTAAGACCGATGCGCCCCTAGTATGCATAATTTATATTGTAAGTATGAGTAAATTGTTCTTAATTTCGAGGACATCTTTCAAAAAATTAAAGACTGGAAGCTGCCTTTTGCTTAAAAATAAAGAACCATCAAAACGGGGTTCAAAAAACCAAAGCCCGGTCGAATTTGGAAGCTACTCTTAATCCTATACTGTTGTTTGTATTTTTTTCCTAAAAGTAAACACTACAATTTTCTTACTTATTTAATAAGTTATTCCCGATTAAAAACATAGTGAAGTTGTCAAAATTTTAATTATTTCGTCATCGATCAGATGTTTTTCTGCTTCTGATCAAAATAAAATGTCAAATCATTCTCTTAAAATCTCCTTACTCCGTAGTAGGTCGCCATCTCAATAGTTTTGACAGCCTCTCTTTTCCTTCTCACTGAATAAGGAGATAGAACTGGGTCACAAGTATAACTCAAGGTCGATATCAAACTGCTTATCAGTAGAATGTTAAATCTATCTGAACTTTGAAGGACACCACATTAATTTTGAAGAATAAATAATAGGATTGATGAAACCGCCAACTGAATATGGAAAGACTATACTCTCAATTGAATTCTTCACTTTACTATAAGAACAACAAAGAAGGAGCTAAGTTCGAGCGTAGCCGAACATTTTATACTCTTGCAAGTTGCAAGGATCAAAGCCAGTTAAATACCTTCAGGTGTAATGAAAGCTTTATATATAATGTTGCGAAAGAATTCAATATTCCTTATTTGACGAAATCGTGAATGGATTACAATGAAAGCTTTATATATAATGTTGCGAAAGAATTCAATATTTCTTATTTGACGAAATTGTGAATGGATTACAATCAAATTTGTATCTTATTAACTTACATTCATTAAGGTACCTCACATACCATATATTTTTGATAAAAAGTTCGCAAGAATAATTGGTAATATTGGTGCAAAGTTTTATCCTGATATATTAATTAGTGCTTTATTTGAACACTGGAATGTGAAAGAATCAGATGAAATTTAAAATTGTGTAATATGGGAAGGTTGTACCCCAATTTCATTTTCACACTATATACCGAATTTGTTTGAAATCCATCAAGCAGGTCCCGAGATATGTGATTTCATTTAAAAGTGGACGGTACCACGCCCACCGTCCAATTGTAAAGCCCTCTTGTGCCATTTTGGGGGTAATATTTAATATCTCTGATGCATTAAGTTATTGATTTATCACACTTTCAGAAGGTTTTAAAAAATCCGTTATATGGATAGTAGGCGGGGTTGAAAAAAACTATCTGTGCAAATCTGGGTAATATAGCTTTATTGGCTTGGGAAATAAATACACTAAACTTATTAGGGGGCGAGGCCATGCCCACTTTTTAAAGGTTTTCAAACCACAGTTGCCTCAATGTGATTCGTTATGCCAAATTTTAGTTCTTAATTCATGGCTTAGTTATGGCACTTTTTACGTTTTCGATTAATGGCGCTTTGTGGGCGTGGTAGTGGTCTGATTACGGCCACCTACAAACTCGCTTTTATTTCTTCGCCAAGGAACATTTTTTTCAAGTTTCATCAAGATATCTTAATTTTTACTTATTTTTACTTAAGTTATCGCTTGCACAGGGTGACAGACAGACAGTCACCCTGGTTTCAGAGTCTCGTCCCCCTGAGCATTTATATATGTTTATATAACTCCATATCTATCTCGATATGTTTTATGTGATACAAAGAACCGTTAGGTGAACAAAACTATTATACTCTGTAGAAACATGTTGCAAGAGTATAAAAAAAGAGCCGGATTGAATTTCAGTATAGCCTTTTTTTAAGCAGCAGTTATTAAAAATCGATGTCGAACACCATTTCAAACCATCAGATTTCAATTTCCACTATTCCGAATATAAATGTAGTTTTGTAATGAATTCTCTAATCCATAAAGAATTTCCAAATATTATAAATTTATATATTTAGGTTGATTTTCGTTTGAGGAATAATATGGTTACAGTGTTCTACCAAAGTCATGATACAGCAGGTGAATTCAAATTTATATGAAAACAAGTAAAGAAGGGCTAAACCAACCAAGCTGTACCTCATAAATTTCTTAAAATCTTTTGTTTCTGGTATGTAACCAGTCGTTTCCTGTGAATGAATAAAATGAATTGAATGATATAAAAATTGTCGTATCAGAAGAAGTCTTTTGTATATCGAATTTCTGCTGAAACCATAGTAATAATGATGATACAAACTTTTGCTACAGCGGAAATGAGATTTAAAACTTTTTTCTCATATTTTACTTCAATTTTAAATTTCTTCAATATTTTATTTATTACTTCTGTTTTATATTAAGACTCAGTTTTGCAAAAAAAAGTGGTGGCTTTTGGATACAAAATGTAATGTTTAGACAAAAATCAACTTATATATCCGAAAGCCTCTTATCAGTAAGGAAAGAAAGAACAGAAACACATATGTTTGTTAATCAATAATGGATTTAAAAAATAAAAAAGTCCATCCAATTTTACGAAATTATAATGAACTACTATTAAAAGAAGCCAACCTATACAGTCCTTTGTTTTGCCATCTAAACCATTACTTTTATACCCCAAAAAAATTTATCGATAACAAGCTCATATACTCGTATGTATGTGTACATCAAAATCACCACAATTCCGACCAATAGTAAAGAATATAAATTTGTAAATAAAATTTTCCTAGAATCATGAAGTAGGGATGTTTTTTCATATTTTCATTTACTGAACACCGTCCTTTCGTAGGAAGACTCATCTTCATGGTCAACAGGAACAGGATAGTAGCTCTATAACAATATTAATTCGATTTTTGGATTGCTTATTTTATGTTTGTTTGTATGTGTGTATGTACACAGGAGTGTATTCTGAATTTTTCAATTTTTCAAAGCCACAAATACGCATTAGGTAACTGTGTGTTTGTGCGCATTAGTATTGATGTAGTAGGTATGTATGCCAGTGTAACTAATGGCCCTTATATAAGTGTATATATGTATACATTTTTATATATATTTGAGTAAATAAGTGCAGTTAATATGCTCTAGATACTAGTTGGAGCTTCCTTTTACAATTACAGTTATGATTTTCAATTTTTTTTATATTTCTGTTAATTATTTCTTTTAGTTTGAGTTTGGAAATATTTAAGTGACGGCATTTTACATTTTTGTGAAGTAAATATTCGTTAATTTTATACTATTTCATAATTTTTATTTTTGATATATTTTATACCTCTGAATTCCATGTGCAGCTCTCAGTTTGCCTGCTGTCTCTCGTTTTATTTTTATTTTTTACAAATAAATATTTTCAATCATCTAATGTGGATTTGTTTGTTATTTTACAATTTATTTATTTACTATATTCATTATTTTCTCTTTTATGAAAGCTAACAACGTGGACGGACGAAAACAATGCCAAAAGTTACATGTCTACTTCAATCTGCCTCAGCCGCATTACTCTTCAATACCACATACATTTGTTTGTATATATGTTTGTACGCATCTACTCGATTCATATCGCTACTGCACTAGTTTGCATGTTACATACTTATTTGTTGTTGTTTGTTTATTAATTTTACATTTTATGTATTTAAATTGTCGGAACTTGACTTTCTGTTGCCTTTTATGGATTTGCAATTTATTAATTGCAATACACACATTTAGTTTTCAAGAAAAACATTTTATCAAAAACTAAAGAATTAAAAAACGATAATTAAAGCAATTACTTGCACGACACTTGCACCTTGCAGCCAAGCCCAAACCTACCGACTACGGATATACCTACATATATATGTATGTATGTACATTAGGCTGGGCCAAAAACAAATTCTCTTTTCCTTAGATACCGTGAAAATATTGTGTTACGTGTTATTGTTGTAAACGTGTTTCAATTTTTCAGAGCATGAGGGACTAGTTCACATATATACAGACAGACGGACATAGCTAAATCAACTCAGCTCGTCACGCTGATGATTTATATATATCTTTTATAGGGCCTTCGACGTTTCCTTCTGTGTGTTACAAACTTACAAACTATTGTATAGTAAAAATGATTCCCACAAGAATAAGTATGAAATTTAACGATCTACAAAAAAAGGTCTATAAATATTTAGCACGACTGAAAAAAAAAAAAAACAAATTTACCCAACAATAACCAACAAGCCTACCATGGTTACCTCGTTCCCACGACAGTCGGGTCTACGTAACAGTTCCGAACCCGTATTTTAACCGGAAAGCATTGGCTCAAACTCTTACCACTAACACGACAGCATTCTTCAAGATTATTTGGAAAATATTTTTTCCGCTTCTACAATAACAATTATGTAGACAACTCGTTAAAGACGTAAAATCGTTTGCCGTTATATTTAGGTCTGTTTATACCAGTCTATTTGAGTTATACGGGTTGGTTGTTCGATGGAGAGTGGGCCAAGCTCTGACAAGCAGCAGTCTCATTATATGTGTTCAGTTTACAACGCTTTATAAACTCAAGAAAGGCTCATAATAAAATATTGAGTCCCGATAGTGTCGCAAGTACCATTAGCTATCGTTAAAAGTGCTTTTGTGACTTTGGATTTATAAAAAAAACTGTCTTATTTAACTAAATATACAAAATAACTATACTGAAAATATTTAATGCCCCCATTACTGTTTTCAACCCAACTGCATTTTGGTTGAAGTTTTGAAATTCGGTCTTATGGTTATAAACTCAACCCGTCAAGAAGAATTGTTACTAAGCAATTAATGAATTTATTTAGAAAAATTATTAATAGAAAATGGAAACCGGGTAAATAAACTATTGTATATATAATTTTAGTCTATTTTAATCAGTTATTATGAAAAAATACAAAGGAGAAAAATTTGTAAAGTAAAATCCCGAAACTGGCCGAGGCAATAGATTCAAGGATCGTGGGAAGTGTTTCGAACATAAAGAGTTGACACAATCTACTACTCCTAGGTATATACTTTTTAAAGAAATTTAAATTTTTAAAGCTTTTTGCTCCTTCTCAGTCATTGGTGTTTTATACACTGCGCCTTAATACGGTGTTCATGATATTTAAAACTTAAAACTTAACAATCATAAATATCGTAGTCTGCTCCAGCCCAAAGTTGAAATTATTTAAACTGCTTTTTTGTTACCGTCAGAAAGGAAACGGGGAGTTTGAGGTAACATTATTTTATATCATTTAATAAAAAACAAAATTATCTCTCATTTAAACGAAAATAACTTATGAATCTGAATATGGTGTTAGGAAGTCCCGATGGGTTTAAGCGATCAAGAAGATTTTTTCTTAAATAATAAATTCAAAACAATATCCATTTTAATAAATATTCACCTTTTCATGAGCAATAACTAAATTGAATTCTTTTAATTTTTCGTTTAAAAATTTTCATTTGTTTAATTATCTGTTAAATCCTCAGTCTCTAGGTTGGCCAGTGAAACTTCGACCGAAAATGGTTTAGTTCGTAATATCAACTTCAATTCAGCTGAGTAGAGTTGAAACCCGTAATAGGGGTATGAATCTAAATTTGTTTGTTGTTTTCCTGCTTCACGCCACTGTTCCATATTAGATGGATAAATAAAAGCTGGCGCCTGAAAGTATGCAACTTTCCATGCAGTAAATTTAGGTAACGAGTTTTTAACGAGAAGAAGGCTGGGGATGCATTATCTGCAGATGTGACAAATTGGAAATTATAAAGTTTTCTACAAAAAAATTAACTAAAAATATAAAAAATTAAATAAATAAAAAAGTAAGGAAGAACTAATTTCTGGTGTAAACGAATATTTTATACTCTGGCAAAGTAAAGTGATATACTAGATTTTGGTATATATATTTAATTAAAAGTAGGAAGTATTGCATGCATTATTTACAATCACAGGCAAGAAGATACAATATTAAAAAGATATTCTTTCGAAAATTCTGTAAGATTTCTAACATATTGACCGATAGATTCAGTTATGAATTACATATATGTATATATGTATATTAACACAAGCGGTACAAAAATTCACATTATCGGATTATGCTCTTATAAGATGATCAGTTTGTATTTATGGATTTACAAAGTGTATCGCCTATTACAGTTATATTTTCGATTTAAGCAAAAACGAAGAGATCTCTCTTTGTGGACCCTTTAATTCTGTAATTTTGCTCTGCATATTTTTATTGACTCTCTCAACCGCAATCGCTAATTTTTTTTGAAAGCATTGTTATTGTAATTCATTACATAAGTGGGTGCAAAAAGGTTCTAATTTAAATACTGTAAAAAATTTCAATATTTGCTACAGTAATTGGAATATTTGTTATAAAACTACGTTCACCACACACCTGTATGCCTTGAGTACATAAATCTTTTTATATGCTTTTTTTTGTTGTTGAAATATATGTAGATCAGTTTAGAATAGTAGAGTGAGAGTAGAGTTTCAAAACGACTTAGACGCTAGCAATAATAAAAAGTTACAGTTTATTTATTGATTTTCTTGTTGTTTGTTTCTTTGTTATTTAATGTAATAAATTTTTATTTATTTAATTGATTATGCTTTAATGTTAGGTAATAGGAATATAATAGTTTATAAATAGGGGAGCAGAATATATAATATATTAATATACATATACCATATATCGATATATTTATATGTAGGTATATATAATCACATTTAAAAATAAATGTTTTATCATAGTTTAAAAACAATTTTAATTTACATTTGTTTAAGAATACTTTTGCTTTTATTCAATTCAACGTATTACAACTCAATTCCATACGCTGCTTACGATGATAAATAATGGAGAACCTAACATTCGTGTGCACTCGCTACGCGCACCTCTTTTACTAGCTCAGTACAAGCTCTTTGCGTTGCAAGTTTTGGTAAGCACTTTCTCATTTTTTTTATTTTGTATTTATTTTACAAACGCTGTCGACAAAGCAACGTTGTGTGGAGTTTAAGTTTAGTTTAAGTTAAGTCAAAAATGTGTATATTTTAAATGTTAAGTTGTAGTTTAATTTTGGTTTTTCAATTTGATTTTAGAAATCATTGCAAATTCTCAATCAACCATTAAAATATTTATAGATTTTCATAGTATGTATGTAAGTTTTTCGTAAGTTGAATAACATTTTTTTTCTAAAAATTTAAAAGCATAAATATTTTTTTATATCAATAACTAGTAAGTTTTAGTAGAGAATAGTTGTTTTTTAAAAACGCACTTGTTTCTTTTTCTAATTTTAATATATTTGAAATTTTCATAATTTTTATTTTTATTATATATGTATGTATATCTCTTTTGGCTAAATAACGTAATGAACGTATTTCAAAAATGCCTTTTAATTCGCATTATAACTAACCTATAGTTGCATAAATCTTTTTTTTTTTTGTAGTTTTTGGCTAATTTTTAATTCAGAATTAAAAATATATACTATCTTTATGTATATATATATGTATGTATATACGTACAATATAAATAGAGCTCTCGTTTACTACATGCAAGTGTTTAAAAAGTTTACAAGGTGTATTTTTAAATTTGCTATTTCTCAACATTATTCATTACTTTCGTTATTATTATGTTAATTTCAGCTAAAATAGTTTCAGTTAAGTTTGTTTGTTCTTGTTTTATAGTTTATAGAAGGCTTCTTTAATAAGTTCTCTTAGAGTTGCGAATAAATTTCAAGTGTCAAATTCTTCGTATTCTTCAAGACGAAACTGCACATTTACATTCGTGCATTTTTCTCAACATAAAAACAAAGTAAAAACACACAAAATGTTGTTTTGATTTTTTTTTTTTGTAAAAAATAAGTAATATTACCATTTAATATATGTATGTTAATTAATTTCACTACATATTTTGTTGGTATATATAATTTTTTAAAAATTCTTCGTATGACTTAAACGACGCACTGCTTAGTTATAAGAAAAGAGAAAAAACTCCAACAATTCGTAAAAAGTGTTATGATGTTATTCTTTGTTGTTGTTGCTACATAAGTAGTTAATCGATTTAGTAGTTAGCTAATAGTTAATAGTAGTAATAGTTAATTCCTCACTTACATATAAATATATTTAGAAGGCAAAAAAGTTTTTTTCTGGTGCATAAATATTATTAAATATGAAACATGCCTATCCTCCTCCTCCGCCACTTCATCAGTTTAAGTTTATGTAGTATTTTCTAAATATAAATTGTTTGAATTTTATATATTTGGGAACTGCATTTCGAGAAGAAGAAGAAGAAGAAGAAGAGTGGCAACAAGTTTTCTACAGAACCGTGCAATAGCAAAAGTAAAAAAATTAAATTCATTGTACATTGTACAGTACTTTATCTCTTTAGCAGTAATCAAAAATATGTGTACATATTTCAAGTTATGTAATCGTAAATAAGACGTACTACAATTCTACTTCAAAAAGATGCGAATAGAAAGTTTCACTCAGTTTGATAAAGCTATTCAAAGATTTACAATTAGTCATATGTTATAGTTGGTTTGCTTTTCTCCATTAGGTTTTTGGAATATATATGCATATTTATGTACAACACATATGCGTAAGTACCTATGTATATATATGTGTGTATATATTTAATTTATATATGTAGTATATATAAACAATACCTAAAAATTGTGTATTTACATGCATTTAGATTTGTTTTATATATAATAAATATGCATGTGTTGTTGCAATTTCACTTCATTTGCTACATATTGAAAAATGGTTAACAATGGTACGCCGCTTTATACAAGATTTTCGGCACAAAAGCTTTCGTTTATGAAGAAAGAGCTTTCACTGCTTTTTGACTGACTTCTGACTTTTTCGATTTTATTCCAAAATTGCTTCATTTCACAGCTCATTGTTGGTTTTGACCCAAATGGTAGGTTAATATATTACTGTTGTTGTTGTTGTTGTTTGCACCGCTCACGCTGACAAGCTCATTTGTCGTGCTTGCTGTAGGCATTTCACTGGAAGTAGAAGAAGTTTTTCATTATTATATAATATTTTATATAAGAGGCATATTGCTTCCTCGTCCTTCCTCGTCTGCGTTTTACTACATCCAGGTGGCCATATTGGTGCAGTGCAGTTTATAACCGGCCAGCCGATTACCTTATGAGTTGCCAACAACGTTTCTTTGTCTTTTCCCCACTAGCTACCGTCTAGTAACTTGAGAATTTTGTTGCAGCTCTATACTTTGTCAGTTATAGCAGTCGTTTCAGGAGTGAAGGAGCATAGGCTGTCGAATGCAGCACATAAAACCTTGGGGTTGTTGACAGTCGGAATTTTAACGTCATCAACTGTGATGTTAAGATCCAGTCAGTACTAATTCGTCCAGTTCGTGAATATGGTCGCTGTGAATTTAGAGAGGGAGAGTGTCAAGCTCCTTGCAGAGAAGAAGTGAGAAAAGTCGAGAGATAGTCGTTTACTTTCGAACAGCTGCGATCAATTTCATTGTCTGACGTAAATATCGTACAATCATCTGCGGAATAGTGGAAATCTCCTCTGGTGGTTGAGGGAGTTTCGAAATAATTTTTCTTAGTTTAAAGTTTTGACCTCGAAACAGTACGGACGATTGCCGACCGCTCAGATAGTTCATAGTCCACCTCTTCAGCTCTGGAGCGATCGTGGATTGTTCGATTTCCTTAAGTAGCGTTGAATGAAGTCTTTTGAGGATCATTATCATACAGGGGGTTTTTGGTTTAGACCATGAACTATCTAAACATTTATGTAGTTAAATGCAGTGGTGGTGCTGTGCACTTTACGGAAGCCATGTTGATAGTCTGTTAGACTCAGTTGGTGAGTGAAAGTTGGGAGTAACAAGGCCTCAAGTGTCTTCACTACTAGGGAAAGGAGAGTTTTCGGAGATGATTAGAGGGTTTCCCAGGTTTTAGTAGTGGGACCACTCTTCTAACTTTCCACACATCAGATATTTGAAGAGTGATCAGCTACAGGTTGAGGACCTTGGTTAGATAGCTTACTCCTTTTTTATATCATGATTATTAAACACTTCACTTATCTATTTAAAAGTATAAGGAACTTTTGAGATTTAATATAGTTTTTCAAGAGACAAAGGTAAGGTTAGGTTGGTACAATTGCAAATTATTAGTATACTACTTACTTTCTTTCGACTTGGCAGACAATTTCCGATTGTTCTTGATACTGCAAGCTTTGAAGGTATTCCGCCCTGCGTTGGTGCACCAGCTTCTCTTTTTCTGCTCGTTCTCTCTGTAGCCTAATCCAGAAAAAATTTAAAAGTATATGTGTTACTTTATAATAAAAATGTTTGAACTTTTTTGTTGTTGTTTAGATGATATATAATTGAAATATATGTGGTATAACAGCTTTTTGTTCCAAAACCTTACCAAGGTTGCTGAATTTCCATCCCAAATGCTTGCGTAGAATATTTTATAAAAATATATTATTAACTTTTATGTTTTGTCGAGGTTAAGCTGTTTGGAATTAATACAATTTGGTTTTTTCCCTACCATGAAAGAGTTGAAAATTCAAGGAAAGAAAAAAAAGAACTAATTTAGGCAAAAATAGGAATTGTGAATGTAAGTTTTGCTGTAACTTTTCTCCAATCGTTTTGAATGGAAAACTGAGAAAATCCTAATGTTTATTGGGAAACCAAGCTATAATATCCTTCACAAATACAAAATATTCCATACAAGAACTAAATTTTGATCCGAGACTTGGAGACTTCACCGTGGCCTTAGACAATAATCCATGCTTAGCTCCGTGGAGATATCTCGTCAAATAAAAAAGTTTTTCATACAAGGACATGATCGCCGACATCGGCGATTCCGACAAAATGAGCAGCTTCTTGGGAAGAAAAGAACATGTGCAGCATTCAAGAGCGATATCTGAAATACGGAGGATCAAGTTCGAGTATATGTATACAGACAGACGGACGGACAATCATGTCAGATCACTGAATCATGAGGTTCGTGCTAGAGGTAGAGGTTAAGCATCTGCCCCCCAAACGTGGGATGAATATCAGCAAGGCGAGGCAGCCAGACAGTAGTGCTACGGCTTCAGGACTGGAAAGCAGATTGTCTTCACTTAACCAGTTTGTTATAGACGCATATCACTATAGCAGCCTTCTAAAAACGGTCACCAAAAGGCGCAACTGTCCTTGGTGTTCAAGAAAACTCTCAGACCTTAGGAAAAGGATACGAACGCTTTTCAACAAGGCCAAACATACGGGAACTAGGAGGAATATAAATACAACCTAACTATTTATGTCAAAAAAAATTAGGATAGATTACGAAATAAAATCGAAGCCCTGAAGGCTTCAACCCTACATGCGAATCAGCACGTTTACAGAGCAGGCAGATCGACTAACACTGCTCTGTATCAGTTAACCTCAGAAATAAAAAGTTTTCTGGATGGTGGAGAGGTGAAGCTATGCGCCTTCCTAGACATCGAAGGTGCTTGTGGCAATACGACTCACGAAAGCGTGGCAAGAGCACTGGATTGAACATCAACCCCTCGAAAACTACCATCGTTCCTTTCACGAAAGCCCCTGACCGGCCTCAGGAACCAATCCTTTGAAGGCAGAGAAGTGCAGACGACTAATGTGGTCAAATATCTGGACCTCATTCTGGATTCCACTCTTCGGTGAAAGCAGCATGTGGACCTGGCCTTAGTCAAGGCTACAAAGCCACTCAAGGTGTGGAATCAACTTGCTGGAAAGTCCTGGTGCTGTAAGCCAAAGATTATCAGGTGGATTTACACTATGATTGTGAGACCGATTATTACTTATGGGGCGGTGCCTTCAAAAGCATCGCAGACTTCGATAGGACTTCAACTATCGAAGCTGCAAACGCTTGCATGCATCTGCGCATCGGGTGCAATGCGTACGTGACCGACAGCAGCACTGGAAGTCATACTGGAACTCACATCGCTATACACAGTAATCAACCAAGCAGCCAAACATGCAATACTTCAAATGACAACAGCAGGGTTTGGTGTTGTTTGATTACAATTAGGATGGCAACATAAAATGTAAAACTAAACTCAAAATATATATATACCAAATTTTAAATTGTTATACTTATACAGCAATATACATCTAAATATATGCGGATAGTGACACTTACTTAATTCGTGATTGTCTCATGAACTGTTGAATTTTTCTGGCAGCTTGATTTTGGGTTGATTGTGAATAAGTACGTCTACAAATTTAAAGAAATGCAGGTTATAAATTTGAAATTAATATATATACAAGTATATATTAAATAGTACACACTTATAGAAAAACATGCCATCAAAAAAAATTTCCAATATAACTCACTTCAATGGACCGGATGGGCTCGTCTCCTTTGGTGTGCTCGGCTGGGAACTGAAGTCAAGTTGTTTCTGTTGCTGCTGATCGTTACGGAAATGATCGTAGAAGCTTGACAGACATTGCGACGTCGGACTGCTCTGACTGTCGACAACAGACAACTCAATGCCAATTGACATGGATGACGACTGTGATTTCTTGAAGCGTTTGTTGCGGCAATACGAACGATATCCATGCTGTATGACAAGAGCGGCGTTCGTCATCTGACGGTAGTAGGCGTACTGCTTGTAGCGACGGTAGTAGTTTTGTATGACAATTGCGGCAGTGCGTTCCTTATTCTGCTCCTCCATCTTCTGCCGGCCCTTATATGAGCGGTAAGCTTTCTGTATGCATTTGGCAGCCTCATACAATTCGCGTTGCTCGGTATCTAATCGGAGGGGTTTAATAGAGACTTATATTTTATATTTGATATTTGCAATAAAACACCTGTCAACGTTAGCTTTGAGAAGTCGGCTTCAAAGGGATACTGGCTGCTGCTGGAAGCATGTAAAAATTCAGTTAACTGTTTAGTTGAAGGTGGTGGACTTGGTGAGCTAACAGAGGGATCGGCACCCAGTATGGAGTAACTAGCTGGTGATTGCAACGGACCCGAACTGGCCGGGCTTAGACTGGAACATGGTGTGCTAACATCATGATAACGGTAGCTGTGATCATTGAAGTCGAAGCTCTCATAGTGTGTATTAGGCAGCGAATCAAGTGGATCCATAAAACCGTTATTCAGACTAGGCGAATCAGAGTTGAGCGGTTCCGTAAGTGGGCTTCCCAGCACCATCATTTCATCAGCTTCATTCTGTGGGGAGTACATTGAAAACACACGTATACATTAAATTTAAAATATCGGCAGTCTGCTGGCGGCACTACCTTAATACGCTCCGGCATGGCAGCGATAATGTGCTCAGCTAGGGTGAGCACTTTGGCATCAGAATCCCCTGTAAAACGTAACAAATGGCACAAGTTAGCGTGTTATATCACCATATGTGTTAGTAGACACCAATGACATTTAATGTGAACAAATACTACAGCTGGCAGTAAACGATTGCGCGCAAATGCACCTGTATACGATCTTCAGAAGCACTTCAGTCGAAGCTCCCTCGACTTAATGTCCGGATCTTATACACGGCGCTTGCACTTGTAAGTTTAGTAATACACCGATACAAGCAATTAAAACACTTAGGAGAGCGTGTTCTTACACATACAGACATACAGTATCCGACAAAACTATGGATACCGCACCGCAGTTTTTACTATTCTTGCAAAATTTCATAAAAGAGTTAAACAACTAAAAAATTGCACATATTATTAGTACATACTGTAAGATAGCTTTGGGTTCGCTTGCAGAATGAAGACTTTTTGATGATTACTTGAACTTTGTACACGACTAAAGTATATATACAGTGGCAATATTTGTGCGTAGTGTTTCTGCGCGTAAATAATTTTTATAAATATCAGTAAATAAACTTGATAAAATAAAAATTTTATCATCTTGGCCTCAATAGTGGTTTAGCCATTACTTTAAGATTTTATTTGGTGAAATGCCGATTCCGATCGTTCAGTTTGTATGGCAGCTATATGATATAGTGATCTGATTTGAACACTTTCTTCGGATAATACATCATTGCCTTAAACAATAACTCATGCCTAATTTCGTGAAGATACCTCGTGAACTGAAAAAGTTTTCCATGCAAGCACTTTACTCCGATCGTTCAGTTAATGTGACAGTTTGTATGGCAGCTAAACGCTATAGTGGTTCCGACAAATGAGCAACTTCTTAGTGAGGAAAGGACAGGAGCAAAATTTCAGAGCGATAGCTTAAAAAATGAGGGACTAGTTCGTATATATACAGACAGACAGACGTTTACTTGTGGGTGTACTTCGTGGCAAACTTAATATACTCTGCTCAGGGTATAAAACAGCAAAGCCAAAGCAACCACTGCTCGCGAAGAGATTAAAATAATTAGAAAACTGAAGAACGAACCAACTGTTTCAGCCCGATTTATTCAGCAGAGCCTTCAGAACAATATTGCTGAGCGAACAATTTGGCGGAGAATCCGATAAGTGGTTATTCCATCCACTACAAGATCATTAATCCTTTCATCAGCAAGAGGAAATTGAAGGCACGATTGGAATTTGAAAAAAGAATAATTATCAAATGCATCCAAGTTTTTGGAAAAAATTAACTTGGAGTGATGAACGCAAATTTAAATTTAAAAAGTTTATCAGACGCTCTAAAGTAAGTGCATCTAAAGCACCATAAGGTTTGGTTTGGAGGTGGGAATTTTTTTTGTTTGGGGGTTAAAGGCTGAATGGTTGAAGGCAAAATAACGGGAGAGTCCTGCGTACAGATGCTAAGTACAAATTTAGAGCCCGCAGCGCAACACAGGGGCTTACAAGATGATTTTATATACCAGTAGGGCAATGACAGCAAACATACAAGTCGGGTTGCGAAAGAATATTTCAATCAAAAAAAATCGATTGAGCTCCTACTATTCCGCGACCAAAGCCCTAAGTTAAATCCCATTGAACATTTATGGCATTATTTGCATGATAAGCTCGACCAATTTTCTTGTCGTTCCAATAAACGAGAGATTTTTAATAAATTGCAGGACTCGTTGTAAAACATACCACAATTGCTTCTTCAGAATTAGGTAGACAGCATGCTTTGGCTGTAATTAACAATAAAGGTGGCAACACTAAATATTGAAGCTCTAATGATCGAACGATCGGGTACAACTAATAGTTCAAATGTACAATATTTGAATATAATTTTTTTATATGATATACGAATTAGCAAAATAGAAAAACAAACAAATAAATTTTTCTTCTCAAAAGATATAATAATTTCGGTTTTTACATTCGAAAGGTATACATAGCTTTGTCGGATACTGTATATACAAATTATTTTTACCCATTAGCCAACTAATCCATCAACTACAGCAACACATACATTTCAATTTGAGAGATTAGTCATGCAAAGTACTTAAGAATGTAATCAACTCTGCGAGATGTGTTTCAAAAATGATAAACAATAATGTTACAACAACAAAAAATAAATAAATAACAATAATGATAGTAAAAATAAAGTAATAAAATACCTGTACGTGTTTACTATTTACAAAAGTAAATACTTCTTTCCGCATAATGATATTTATTTTATTTTTTAGTACTCCAAGAAAAAAACGACAATGCACTAACAACTTACACATATATTTTATGTACGTCCATGAATTATTCATCTTTTTTTTGGTTTTTTATGTACAAACACCAATTGTTTACGCTAAACCAAATTACTTGCGGTTAATACATAAATATTTACACCAGTTTACTTGTTAATAACGTGAGTAGCTTTTCCGGTTCATTTACTCAGATATGCCAACAATATATACAACAACAATAAATAACGTTAACAGCATTCAGTACACATCTTCAGTGCCAAGGACACTTTAACAATAACGGTTTTAAGTTTTAACACTATTTAAGCACTCTTATATTTATGCATATATGTGTGAGTGTCTGTGTATGTATACTGGAGAGATGTACTTGGCACTGTGTCGTACAGAAAGTGAATTATACATATGCATGTAGTGGTAGTAGTACAAAGAGAGCACATAGATGCACATAGAGTGCACACACAAACTGACCTACAATAGCATCGTTCTCATTACTTATAGTCACATCGTTTACATCATCATTATTGATCGTTGATGTATCATCGTGATCTTTGTCGGGTAAGGGGCTTGAATCGCCAGTTGATACCTCGCCTGATTTACATACACATACAGGGTACATACATATATTATTGGAAAAAAATTTATATAATGTTTTCAAATAAAATTTCATTTATACAATTGCAAGAAAGAAAAATTTTCAAAAATAAAATTAAACAAAATAAAAATATTGAAAAACGCAAAAATAATTTTACAAAACAAACCGTTAAATCATTTATATAAGAATAAATGTATTTATAAAGAAATAATACTGCTTCACTTACACAATGCAAAGTCCATTTTGCGCGATGGCGAGAGTAGGGAGTTCGTTGTATTTGTTGCCGCCAGCGTGTCAAGCGTTGACTCCACGGCCAATTTAAAATTGTCATGCGTTTCGAAACTGTAGCGGAAAGTAAATTAATTCGGTTAGCAAGTGCAATGTACTTTTATAAATGTTTTATGGGGCAGTCAAAATTTTTAATTTCGGAGAAATATTTGTAAGAGTTTTTAACTTATATGTTTTGAACTGGTGATCATGGTAGCTCGAAAACCGTCCGGTAGATTTGGTAAATTTTTACTACTCTTAGACTTTTTTATTTTTAATTTCGATTTTTATAACCAATTTTCTCTAGAAAAAAATTTCCTGAGGCCGCCATTTTGTTAACTAAAAAAACAGCTTGGATTGGAATTAGGTCTGGCAGCCACTGCTTTGAAAATTATTACTTTTTTCTCAAATTTCTTTCAAGTCAAGTCGAAACTTTATTTAAAAAGCTGCGTAGGTTGGTAGTCAACAAAGCGTTTAAATTACATATTCTCAAATATAGTTTTATGAAATGAGATGTTGATAAAGATGAAAATAAAGGGTTTTTTTCGAGGTATAGAACTTTAAGTTGGCATTACTGTTCAAGATGGCGACCGATTTAACAGCTGGCAAGTGATTTATTCTTAGTTTGGTTTGGCAATTCATCACGAATAGAGTCACGCCTGAACAACCCATGCAAGTAGTGCAATTTTATTTCGAAAATAATGGTTCTGTGCGGAATACATATCGCGCAATACGTTCATTTTATCGTATGTTGCGATGAAGCGCACTTGTGGTTGAATGGACACGTCAACAAACAACACTGGAGGGAAGCTAATCCTCAAGTGTATGTCGAAACACCGTTACATCCAGAAAAACTGACTGTTTGGTGCGCTTTATGGGCTGGTGGAATCATTGGTACTTACTTCTTCAAAAACGATGATGGCCAGAACGTTACAGTCAATACTGATCCATGATTACTAACTTTTTCATTTCTGAATTGAACAACCATGATTTCCAGGAGCAGTGGTTCCAACAAGACGGCGCAACATGTCACACAGCTCGTGCCACAATCGATTTATTGGAATACACGTTTAGTGACCGCCTAATTTCACGTTTTGGACCTGTGAATTGATCCCCAAGATCTTGTGATTTAACACCGCTATACTACTTTCTGTGGGGTTATGTAAAGTCATTGGTCTATGCGCATAAGTCACAAACGCTTAACCATTTGGAAGACAACATTCGCCGTGTTATTACCGATATACCGCCAAAAATGTTGGAAAAAGTCATCGAAAATTGGACGTCCAGTTTGAACTACATCCGAGTAAGCCGTTGCGGTCATATGCCAGAAATCATATTTAAAATGTAATGCCACAATATTATCTTTCGGATAAATATAATTCATGTCAATTGAATAATCCATCGTTGTTTTATTGCAATTTTAAGTTCTATACCTCTAAAAAAAACCCTTTATATGGAAACTAGTTTTTATAGCATTATTGAAGACCTCATTTACTTTTTCATAAAAAGTATGATAAGTGATTTAAGTTATAAAACTTATAACGAATTGCTTAGAAAAACCATTTCCCAAACACAAGGTAAACTACAGCAGAAAGTTTTATAAATATATTATCTTCTTTATTCCTATGAATTTAAGAAATATCAGTTAATTTCAAATTTTCTTTAGTTTTGAATGTCAAGAACAACCTTGTGAAAAAACCCTGTGTGAAACTTTTTTTGTACACCTTTCAAGACTCATAAATTAACGAGCTCTGAGATACTAAAAATAAATGCACTCACTCGATGTATTTTTCAACCAGCTTCAATTACTTTAAAAATCAGCAGCATTATTCGAAAAGGTTCTAGAAATATACATTCGCCAAACGAGCACACACAACTACTTACCTCTGCAAACGTGTTATGTCCTTAAAGGATTTACCGGGCTTCGTTCGAATATCCATATTGATTCCACTATCGACCGAGGATCGCTTAGAAAATCGGCTGGCATTCGGAGGACTTTGATTACTACGAACGAAATAGAACGTTTCAAGTTCGATCAAAATTTTATTTAATGAATACTCACCTTGCCACCGCTACGGGACGCAAAAAAACTCCATCATGACTACGTTGCATATCTAAAGCGTCTAATGTATTGAAAACATGTTCGTTGTCTTTGACATCATAAATTTGTTCGTTGGTGTTCTGTGATTTCGAATGTACATCAGTTAGCTGTTCAGTAAAAGTGCCGTTATGAGCAAATAACGAACCCTTTAGCCGTACTACTTACCGGATATTTATTTAGACTCAGAGATATATTTCCAAATGTATTCTTCTTACTTTGCTTTAGGCGGTCCTCTTCCAGACGATAAATCTCTGACAAGAGTGCTTTGTGGCTGAAAGGCAAGACGAAAATTTTGTAAGCAAGAAACATTAACATATATACTTGCAGAACATGGCTAATCTGTTAGAAGTAGATTGTAGTCGCTAAATTAAAACTATATAGAGAATTAGTGCACCAATTTATAAGAAACAGTTAAAGACGGAGAAATTCGTCGAAAAAGAAAAACTTGCATCGTCTAAGAGTTGAAAGGAGACTAAATCCTTCCGAATAATCCTTACATACAGAAACGATTTCAAAATAATTTGTGAAACTCTTCATATTAAACGCATCGCTTTTCTGGTTACTTATTTATTCTTTGGCATTGAATACATGAATTCATACTAAAAGGTAAAAATTATATTCATAAGGGTTTGCGGATGTCCGTATCCCTAGCCCAGAAACTGTTATTCAAGCAGGAAAATTGGGCATGAAAGAGAGTAAGTCCACTTTTAGGGAGTGTCTTCTCCTTCGTAATTCAAACAATTTTAAAAATTTAAACATTTGTCAAATTTATTGAACACACAAAACATTAACATAAAACAATGCTTTTTTTTGGAAGCGGTAAACTCGGGTACAGCATAATATAATATAATATTATACTCGTACACCGCAATTTATAAGAATTAAAGGAATGTAATGAATGTTCGTGGGTCTGTTAGGTTTTTGCTATTCCTTCACCTCAAATACCTATTTAGATTGAAATTGTAGACCGGGTTCGAGTACAGTGTGAAATATAAAATTTAACATAAAAGTGGGCATTGAACAGATCCAGATGAGAGTTTACCTTAGTTCAACTTTCACTTTATAACACTTTTTTTTTAGAAAACGAGCTTTCGGTACTACGCATATAACCGTTATATGGGAGATAGACGTGATTATCACTCGCTTTCATTAATTTGTTACAGTATTACGTATTAGTGAAGACTAATGGTTAGCATATCTTCATTGGCTTACGAGTTATAAAATTGTATCTTAGTGTAGAAGTGATCAAGCCTATTTTTATACTCTCGCAACCTGTTGCTACAGAGTATAATAGTTTTGTTCACCTAACGGTTGTTTGTATCACCTAAAACTAATCGAGTTAGATATAGGGTTATGTATATATAAATGATCAGGATGAAGAGACGAGTTGAAATCCGGCTGACTGTCTGTCCGTCTGTCCGTCCGTCCGTCCGTGCAAGCTGTAACTTGAGTAAAAATTGAGATATCTTCGTGAAACTTGGTACACATGTTTCTTGGTACCGTAAGATGGTTGGTATTACAAATGGGCGTAATCGGACCACTGCCACGCCCACAAAACGCCATCAATCAGAAACAAATAAATTGCCATAACTAAGCTCCGCAATAAGATACAATACTGTTATTTGGTACAAAGGATCACATTAGGGTGGGGAATCTGCAGCTAAAATTTTTTTTTAAAGTTGGCGTGGTCCCTCCCCTAATAAGTTTAATGTGCATATCTCCTAAGCCGCTAATGTTATAATAACCAAATTCACTGCGAGCAAATGTCTTTAGCACCTCTATTGACGGTGTGAAAATGGGTGAAAACGGGTGACAAGCTCGCTCACTCCCCAAATAACGGTACTGTTAAAAAATACTAAAAGCGCGATAAACCAAGCACTAAACACGCCAGAGACATTAAGTTTTATCTCTGGGATGGTATGAGATGACTTTATAGGTTCAAAATTAGACAGTGGGCGTGGCACCGCCCACTTTTAGGTGAAAACCCATATCTTGGGATCTGCTTAACCGATTTCAACCAAATTCGGCGCATAACGTTCTTTTCATATGTCTATGTTATAGTGCGAAAATGGGCAAAATCGGACTACAACCACGCCTATTTCCCATATAACACCATTTTAAATTCCATCTGATTCTTTCACTTTCCACTATGCAAATCAGGTAACAATGATTATATCGGGGTAAAACTTTGCGTGAATAATATGTGTAAAGTATACCACCTTGTGACCAAAAATTGTCTAAAACGAACCAAAACTGTTCAAGCCCCTAAGTACTAAATATGTGGAGCCCAGTGCCTATAGTTGACCTTCTACCGAAAATATCAGTCAATCCACAAAGAAATCTCAAACGAGTATACCATTTGACTTTGCGAGAGTATAAAATGTTCGGTTTCATCCTGACTTAGCCCTTCCTTACTTGTTCACTATAATTTTCCCCCCGATGTATCTTAGATATATGTATGCGTAATGAACAGTTATCAGAGAAAAAATAATACAGTTACAAAATTGTGATACAAACCCCTTGAAGTTAGCGACGTCTAGGGGTGTTTGTTGAGCATTATCTTTGATCTTCAAGGCGTTATGATTCCACTTGTACAGTATGATGGTCATTTCAACATGATTTCGTGTACAAGCCCAGGCCTAAAGAAGAAGAAGAATTAAAGATTATTTTAAGTGACAGATAAATATACCGCAAATGTCACCTACCATCGGTGTATAACCGTAGACATCACGACTCAGTGCATCAATCTCCGTCTCGAGTATGATATTTGGATTCTCCGCACGCCAATTGAGCAAGGCGCAAGCCAGCTTGGAATAGCCGAGCGCCGCTGTTAAGTGCAGCAACGTCATACCTTTGAAGCCACTACTCCAGTTGCTGCCATTCTGCAACCAGGTGCGATTCATGAGCACTTGACAATAGCTAACTAGTTGATCTTCGAAGTTCTTGTGGAGCAAAAGTGTTTGCTGCTCAAACTGCAACGAGAAAACAAAAAGAAGTTGAAAAGAAATAATATATATTTAGATAGAGCTCAAGTATTGTGGGGATGCTCACCAGCGTTGCCGATGCTTCCGATTTCACCTGCATCTTTTCGTCTATCAATGCCAACCGATTGAGCAGCGTAAACTTGTAAAGACAATCATTGGTGTAAGCATCGTAGGGCGCTTCTTGGTACAGCGTGGTCTTGTATTCGAATAGTACCGTATCGGAAATTATATAGTTGTTGCAAGACACCTGCAGTGTAGCGAAACCGGCCTCGTGCGGTGGACAGTAGCAACGCAAGACACCCTCTTGTATCAGCTGCGTCGGCACCGGCTGTGCATCGAAGAGCAGCGTGTACGTGGCGTTCGCAGTCCATGGCCCGACCACAAGCACCTTGACGCCCCCTTCAGTATACGCCCATTCCGGACTAAAGTCGCAAATGCTTAGCAGCTTTTTGTCACTTACCATGCCAGACGGGCAGTACGCTTGGCTGTTGTTTAGCTGCTCTAAGGAACCGTTTATGTCGACTTGCTGTTGATGAAGTTGTTGCTGCACGGTATTCGATAGCGCTTCCTTATCATCCAAATCCAATTCGGGAAATTCAACCAGCATGTCGAACGCATCCAAATGGGCAAACACATCATCTGCATCCTCATCGTCCCCCTCACAGCTAACGCCGTGCACTAGAATCTCATCGTCACTTTGACCGGCACAATTACCGCCCAAAAAGTCGATGGAGCTCATCATATGCGTCTCGGCAGCTCCTGTAGCTGTGGAAGTTGTCAATTTAGGATTTGTCGCGCCAAAAGGCAAATTCGCAATAAGTGTACGTTGGATGTCTTCCTGCGAGAGATCGAGTGTCTCGTTAAGGAAGCGCAATGAATCATTCAAATCGTGAGTGGAATGTGAAGCTGTTTGCCGTTGGTGGTGTGGCTGTTGCTGACCAACACCATTTCCCCCATTGCTGCTCAGCTCCAGTGATTCAAAGTCAATTGCATGGGATTGTTGTTGTTCTGTTTCACAATTTTCATGGGAATTCGAATTGGTTTGTTCGTGTTGCAGTTGTTGCTGTTGATGTTGTTGTACATTGTTTACCTTGGCATCATCGTTGGAAGCACCAATATTTACACAACCATCGGTATTGCTGTTGCTGTTGTACTCTATTACTTGATTGTTGTCGTTACAATTGTTGCGGTTGTTGTTTTTGGAAGTATTTGAATTGTGTTTTATATCACTACCGGATGACATCTGCAACGCAAAAGAATTTTGGTATTAACGTTAGTTTTATTATTTCTTACATAATATAATTAAAAAAGAACAAGATCGATAACAATTCGGTAACACCAAAGCTATACCATCCTTCACAAATACAAAAGATTTCATACTGGATTTCATACAGAAATTGATTTTCATCGGCAAGTTTGTATGGCAGCTATATGCTATAGTGGTCCGATCGTAACAATTTCCTTGGAAGTTATAGCGTTGCTTTGGACAATAACTCCTGCGTGATTTCGTGAAGATATCTTGTCGAATAAAAAAGTTGTCCATACAAAAGCTGTATTTCGATCATCGATCAGTGAAGCAGCTACTGTGGCCCGATATCAGCGGTTACGACAAATGAGTAGCTTCTTGGTAAGAAAAGGACGTATGTTGAAGGTATAACAAGAGAGACCGATATTGATTTCAAAAAAAAACATTGCAATAATTTCAACCAGTTCATGTTCATGAGTTTTCTGTTCCTGTCCTCTAATGTCCCACCTCAATCCTCATTCTGCGTCAAATCTAGCAGTTTACAACCATTATATTCATTATTCATTAACATTCTTGTCATTATATTCATTATTCATTAACATTCTCTGGCGAAACATTTGCTCCTTCTCTATTCATTAACATTCTCTGCTTTAACAACAGAGAGAGAAAGCGGTAGGCCGACTCCTATTGGAGTATGTTCTGATCAGAACAGTGTGGCAAACGGAAAGACAAGGTCACATCACATATAATATGTGTACAAAAAACAAATTAATTAATTAATTTAACTTATATAAATATAAGATAAGGGAATTGGATCTATTGTAAGAACAATAATTTTGCCGACGCCAAATATTAATATATTATATTCAGCTTTTATCAATTGGTATTTGTGTCAAATTTTGTTTGTGTTCATTAAGGTTTGCCATATCAGCATGTCACGTCTGACTTTGGTACAGCGCCAATTCACGAAGCTGCTGTAAGAACACTTCGCGCAAAACACGGGCGTCAAAATTTCTGGCTTAATGGTTTCGTCAAGATTAAGGAAACGTAATTTCATCCCCAAATATTGACCATTTGGTGCGAATTGTAGTATGGCAGATTCATCGGGCCTTATTTCTTTCGAAATGAGGCAGGAAAGACCGTTACCATCAATAGCGAGCCTTATAGCACGATGCTGACCGGCTTTTTTCTCTATTTCCAACAAGACGGTGTACCGACTCATGTTACACGTCTAAACATAGACACATTGCGTGCAAAGTTTGGTGACTCGTTAATTCCGAGAAAAGGCGAAGTCAAATGGCCGCCAAGATCATGCGATTTACCCCTATATTTTATTATTATTTATTATTTTCTCTAGGTATATGTTAAATCAAGGGTTACACCAATCAACCAGCAACGCTCGAGAAGCTCGAAGACAATATTCAGCGAACCATAGCTGAAATGCTGCACCGGGTCATCGAAAATTGGCGTAAACGGGTAGAGATATGCAAACGGAGCCGTGGTGGCCCTATGGCCGACTTTTTGTTCAAATAATAAATGGCATAAAATTATCTGCATAACAGAAAAATCAACAGAACCCATTTTGACCAAATTTGAGTGTTTTATTTCATTTTAACATCACGTCGTTCTTGTTGGTAGACCCTTTATAGGACTCTAACTCTTCGATGAGCTTAAACTTAAGTAATAAGAACAACTAAATTAGCTTACCTCCGTTGCATCGTCATTCTCTGCAGGCGAATCGAATTTGTCCAGCTTAGTGACATTTTCGCCAATTAAATTTTCATCAACTCTTGTGGTCTCGACTGTCAATGTGTCGCCAATGGTCGAATGTTTATGATGATGACCCATATTATCATTCATAATCGACTGAGAGGAGGGTGATGATGTTGTCAACGCACCTGCCCCCACCACATTCGCTGAAGAAGTTACGTGTTGCTGCCGCTGTTGTTGTTGGTGTTGCTGTAAGGGATCACTATTGCTGCTTAAACCTAGCGTGGTTGGACTCACTGGTGTCGAAGGCTGATGCTCAGGCGACATACACATCGGCTCCACTGTCGACAGCGATGATGACGATGAAAATGTCGTCGAGGAAATATTCAGAGTCGTTGTATTTGCTGATTGTTGTTCTTGCTGTGATTGTTGTGACTGCTCTTGCTGTTGTTGGTGTGTGTGTATTTGAGATTGCGAATTTGCATGTGGGTGGTGCATTTGCTGGTGTTGTTGTTGTTGCTGTTGTGGTGATTGTGAGGAAGAATTGGAGACGGAGGACATATTTATGTCATTCGTTGTTTGCTTTTGTTGCTGTTGCTGCAGCCGATTGTAAAATTCTTGCTGTTGCAGTTGTTGTTGTGTGGAAGAAGTAGACGAAGAGTGTGTATCAGTTTGGTTCTGCTGTTGTAGTTGTTGTTGATGCTTATTGAAGTTGTAATTGCTATTGTTATTTATGACATTTTGCTGTTGTTGTTGCTGTTGCTGCTGTTGGTGAGGTGTCAACACTAATTGACTACAATTACCACCACCACCAACACTTCCAAAGCTGCCACTGCGGTTAAGGGTGCCCTGGGCGTTTGAGGTTGTTTGGTTGGGGTTTCCAATTAATTCATCCTCATGCAAGCCCATCACGTGCCCAATTGCCACACCGTCACCCTCCTGCTGCTCGATGATTGCCGAAGTGGCTGCAGCCCCCGAGGTAGCTGTTATTGTTGTTTTTGCAATTCGTAAGCGATGATTTACATGTGAATTATTATTATTACTGCCATTGTTGACATTATTACTGCTGCTGCTGTTGCTGTTGTTGTGGTTGTGGTTGGTGCCGTTATTAGCTACAAATCGTTGCAAATTTAATTGATTGTTATGATTGCTGTTGGAAATTGTTGATGGGTTTTGATTGAAATTTGATTGCTGCTGCTGCTGCTGCTGTTGTTGTTGTTGCTGATGGTGATGCAGTTGCTGTTGTTGTTGCTGTAAGAGCATATTGTTTCGCGCAGTCAACTGTCGATAGTGTTGTTGTTGCTGATAGGAAGCCTGTTGTTGTTCGTTGTGTTGTGGTGGAATGATTTGGAATTTAATCGCCGACTCCTGCGGCAAAGTCTGTTGTTGCATATGATGAGTGCCCGAATACTGATGATGTTGTTGTTCGCTGCCATCGCGCAGCCGCCGCTCCGACCAACGCGAGTAAAGCTATCATGAAAGTAGAAAAAATATAACATAGGCAATAAAATATCAACTTTCTATTCGGATGACCCACCTTTTGACCAACAACGACATTCGGCGTACCGCTCGCCCCCGGTCCATAACCATCGCCAATACTAAGACGCTTCTCGCTAACAGATTTCAGTAGCGTAGGCCGCCGCATGACCGGATGCGAGCAAGTTTTACCGTCGGCGCATGACGCATCCCCACAACCACAGTCCAGCTGCTTGACCAACGCCGCCTGACGTGACAGACGTTGCTTCTCCATCAACTGACACACCAATGATTCAACGGTCTCGGCGGTCTTTGGAATAAATTTAGTTTTTTCTTAGCAATATGAGGAGAACTCGCATTGAAATCGAGGATAATACTCACCGAAATTTCTATGTCATTACCGGAATCAGAATCATCATCCGAAGTTACCGTGGATACTAAACGGAAAATACAAGTTCGAAGAACAGGTTATACTATATGTGGATACGGTATACGACTACATCATAAAAAGCTCTATAGGATCCTTAAAATTTCTTTATTATACTCTTGTCGAGAATTGGGCTCGTAAAATGCTAATCGCAAAGATTTCGCGACTTACTAGCTTATACCATGTTCCGACCGACACCTTAACACAAGATTTTGGCTAAACTAATCTACTCGAAATCTCCCTGTGCGAATCTGATTTAGCACCACCTGTTTGTCACATTTATCAAAGTTGATTTTGACACAACAAACAGTCAAAGTGAAAAAAATTAAACAAACAAATAAAGTAGTCCACTTCGTCTTGAGCTCTATTTGGTGTAAATAACCCGACTTTTATTTATTTAGAATTAACGACATTTTAAACGAATACAATACTAGCTTTAAAAACAATGCTGTGAACGATCTTTGGGTCTTTATGACAAGATATAGAATTATAGTATAATCACATTAAAACAATTAAGCAAAAAAAAGGATGAATAGGAAGTACTAGTGTTCCTCTTGGTGTACCGAATTGACATCACTTTGAAAACTGGAGTAAATGATGAATTATTTTGATCACCGACAAAATGGCTTAGATGCTTATGTCAGTCAAAAATGTAAGTCATAACGATATTTCTAATTGATATTTTTATTTTTATGGAGAAACATTTATCTCTAAGCTAAAACTAACAAAAATATTAGAATAATATATAAGCTAATATCGGTATTATGTATGGCAACCAGCGTGTCTATAGTAGTCACTATACAACTGGCTACTGATTAGCCAACCTTAGTTTTTATTATGTACTACTACCAGCTCTTGTGATTGTGTACAGAAATGTCAATTTCAGGTCACCTAAAGCCTAATTGCCTACAATGTCCTTACAGAAAATATGTATGTTTCATTTTCCATTTCGTTTCGAACATTTCTAATTGAAAAATTTACCTATAATACTTTATAAAAACAAAATAATTTTTCAAATATTAGTAAAGTAAATAACCTTTTTCCCCTATTTTCATGTTTTTTTACAATATAGGAATATGATTAATTCCAATATTAATAGAAAAAAGAGTACGACAACATTGAAATCATAATTGTGACGAACACGGATGCGAGAACAAAATCGAATCGACGATAACGATCTGCTATATAAGGGCTGCCGGATTGTGCAGCAGCACATTTCTAGTTAGAGTGCTGCCGTATAAAGAGTAAATGAGATAAAAGTAAGAAGTTATAAACTCGGATAAATAGTAGAAATAAAAAATTAAAAAATAAGTGTATAGCAATTAAATTGGGACTTTCATTTATCAATCCAGTGATTGTACTCAAGAGTGAGTTACGGGGTAAACGATTTATCTAGAAATCCGTTACAATATGTTAGATGACAAAGGGGGTAAAATTGGTTGGTAGTCATATTGTTTTGAACATGTTTGTAGTATTTTATCCTTGAAAAAGCTTAAAGTAATAATTATACGAAGCTAAAAAAAATTAGTGAATGCGGAGCGGACGACCAATTATTTAACAAGATCAAGTTTCGGAAGTGAAAGAGTCTTAAATTATGCAAAAATGCAAACCGTTATTCGGTACAAGATATTGTGTATTCTAGCATCGCAAAACGCCATGGTGGTGGTCATCAAAAGACTGCAACGTCACGTGAGATGGTTAACAAAGTGAAGAAGCGACTTGAGTGAAATCCACGACGAAGTGCCAATCAAATGGCGAAAGAACTGTAAATATCTGACCGTAGCATCCGCCGCATACTGAAAACTTATCTTCAGGTCAAGCCTTATAAGATCCAAAAGGCGCATGATCTCACACCCAAGCAGTAACAAGTCAGACTTCAGAGAGCAAAGGAGTTGCTTCGCTTGCCCGAACGTCGTCAATTTCCGAACATTGTGCTGAGTTGAGCAATTCGTAAACTCTCAAGACGATAGGATTTACTTGACTGACCGTTCAAACAAGAATTTAAGTCATCGATTGGCCACCAGGAGGCAGCATCCGCCATAGGTAATGGTTTGGGCCGCTGTAACCGCAGACGGGCTCTCTTCAATAATTTTCGACGAGGCTGGCGTGAAGGTAAATGCGCAATATTATCGGGAAAGTATTCAGGAGGCTGCTTTGAAGCCGTGGGCAGAAAAACATTGTGGTCGCAGACCATAGACGTTCCAACAAGACTCGGTATTATCTCATGAAGCTCGAGTAAACCGAGATTGTTTGAAAAACAACGTTCCGAACTTCATAACGTCCACACAATGGCTCTCGAATTTACCAGACGCTAATCCGATGGATTATTCTATTTGATTAAAAGTTATATTCCATACTGAATTTATGGCCTTTTTAATTGGTTGCACTTCGAGTGCCGGACGCTGTAATAGTAGTTTTGCCATTACCTGAAAATATTTCCTCGGCTTTGCTCCTTGCAAGTTGGAATGTTCGGTTATACCCGAACTTAACCTTCCCATACTTTTTTAATAAAAAGTTTAGCCAACACTTCAAGGTATTTCCTCGGCATTGATTTTGCGAGAATATAAGATATTCGGTTACACCCGCACAAGCCCTTTCTTATTTACTATTTATAACAAATTATAAATTTTTAAGAAGATGGGTTTATAGTTTTATAGTCTTAAATTTCATGTATTTTTAAATTATATAGAAAAAAGAAAATAGTAACACAACTAAAGTTTTTTTTATTTCAAACTCCACTCACTATATGTATGACGATATTGGTTGTGTGACGTCAATAGTTGTCGTAACCTATATTCTATCAACCTTGGGTTACCTTAATAGTAATAATTGTGCCTAATAGTTAAACAAAATTTTTCAGATTCGTTAAAATTGCCAATATTAATTAACTTAAACAGCTGATGCACTTCACACACAGGAATCTGGGGAACGTGCAAATTATCTTATATGCTAAGATCAGTAGCCATGCGCAAAACAAAGTATCGGTATAGACATGGGTAGTAGACCGGCAACTATACATCAGTTGTCTTACATAATGGGGGTGTAGAACTAGGAAGCACTATTAATAAACAAAGCAATAATTTCTTGACTTAATTATTATACAGTTTAATGAAGTTTGTCGTTTCCAGTTTGAATACTTTGTTTACTTACACATAGGTTTAAGTTGGCTGACAAGCTCATCCTTCGTCCACTCTTTCTTATCACCCCATAGTGTTATACTCGGAGCAATGACAGCCATTTTATTATCATCTGGATACGGAACGTTCAGGTAATGGACCAAAACTATATCGGGATTCTGAGAAATTAATATAAAATAATAATTTAATTCAACAGCACAAACTATGAAAGTGCTACTTTTTGTTTATTGAAATGCTGCAAATAGTAACAATTGAGATCTTCTCACCTGTAACAGCCAGTAGCACCTACGATGAAAAGTCGGAAGAATAGCGGAATGCACATAGCAGCCATAAATACACTGTAAAAGAGCAGAACAATATTTTTACTACTTCCTTGCTTCATACATACATATATAAAAATATATCTATATGTATGTATATGTATATATCATATTTTTATCTCATGAAAGCGAAGAAGCAATAAAGCCAGCTTGTCTAAGAAAAACACCAACATAAAAATGTACTAAAATTTCGCTGCAAAATTGGTGAAAACAAATTCATTTAATTAAAATATGAAAAACTAGCTGGAGAGCAGGGGAGTGTAAGTGAAATTGAATTACTTTTGACTTAAGGAAAAGTCACGCTGTGAGAAAGCAAAAAAATTTTAAAATAAAAATGGGTGTAGTAGGCACATTACATAAAATAGAAAAAGAACACTAATAAAAATGAGTAAGAGCTTCGCCGACTAATGCCAAAGTTTAACCCTTTTTTCGTATGTGAAATGTTTTTCATTTTGCCCCACACTTCGCGCGGGCGCTCATACTTTCCGCGTTCAGTGGCTTGTCCAGAAGATAAATAGGAGTTTTTGCACTAGATGCCGCCCGCTGATGACTGACGGCTGATGCCGCCAACCGAGACGGCGTAAAATACGCGAAGTTCCCACCGCCGCTCTCGCCAACCATTAGGAGCAGCAAAAAATTGCTTATCGCTTCCCAATGCTAGCTGAACTGACAGCGTTTGTTTGTGGGCTGGGCTTGGGGCAGAGCCAATGTCTTGGCGCTTCCGTCTTCAAACAAATCATAAATCTTGATACTGCTTCGCGTACACGAGTGTTAGAAGATCTGCAGGGTGGAGCAGAAAATCGCTTGGCAATGCAATGTGCAATGGCATACAGAACCGTTAGCGAAAAAAAATGGGGCAGAAAAAAATCAGAAATCACAAACAAAGGCATTTAAAATTGAAACAACAAAACTCACGCCAGTCGACAAAGCAATAAAACAACGACAATAACTTGAAGAAATTGGCGTGAAATTATAAGAAAATTCTTTTATTCTTCCGCAGCCCAAGATCCACCAACAACACGGACGCGACCCCACTCCAGCCAGTGCCAGGGTCGTGAGCTCACTGATGGGTCGACAAGTTTATACACTTCAGACTTGTAAATACACTTAACCCTTAACTTATTGCATTAGTAGCTTATCCCATCCTAGAAGGCCCCTGCCAAAAAGACTTCACGACATCGCCGGAAAAAAAGTGGCAAAAGTAAATATCCACCAGCAGTTTGTGTAAAAAGGGCGTCAGTAATGCAAAAATGGCAAACAGTCACTACATGCATGTTTCCGGCGGGAAATCATAACTCATGGATACACCGGCTAACCAACCCTTGGGGCGAGGACACAACGTATGCTGCATATGTGCCGTCGCCACCAGCCCGGACGAGCATTGAGAAAAAAGCTAAAAGAAAATGAAAAAGAAGCAAATTATAAAAGAGCAGTAAGTTTTTCTTAAATACTCCTCGTATAGCTGCCTTTGTTTTCATTATCTTGTAAATTAATTTCGGGGCAGCGTCTGACTAACGACGACGCCATTCTTAAGTGGCCAACAAATGGCCAACACCATTAACAAACCGGCGCGGAGTGTGTGTGGAAAAAAATTCGAACAAAACGAAACAAAAAATAGCGAAGGTTATCAAAAAAGCTGTCAAGCAGGAAGGAAACCAAACAAGCAAGCGCATGGAGCTGGCTCTAATTGCCTAATTGCACAGCAAGTTGTCCGGCTCGCCGAACAAACAAAAAAGGCTAATGCAAAGTACAACAACAAAGCTTACGCGGAAATTACCGTCAACAATGTGTGAACCTTTTATGGCTACTTAAAGCTTGGTCTATTTTTATAAACAACAACAAGATTGTTACCTCTGTTCCTTGCACTTTCAGCTTCATGTGATCCTCTCGCGTTGTCTTGCCATCCTTGCGTTTCTTCCAGCAGTAGCCATCACGACGATAGCGAACCTTCTTGCGAGAGTACAGCAGCAGTGAACCGCTCTTTGGTCTGTAAATAAATGAAGATGTTAATGAAGTGACAAATTTGGAAATATACATCAATTTTTACAAAATACCTACTTGTCTACTCCTACATTTTACTCAAGAGACTCGATCGAAACATTTTTAGTTCCATAATATATTTAAGAGTGAGTTTAAGAACCCAAAAGTGTAGAAAATGAAAGTTCATAGACTTCCTGCACATTGATGCTTAAAAGAAGATCCATAAAATAAACTTTCCATTCTCCATAATCATCGGCAAGTAATACCAAAAATCCTCTCGTCATGCCCAAACGAAAAGTTAATCACCTGCACAACACTTCCGATTGGATTGACTGATATCTACTCAATTTAACCAAAATCGGCTACATGAAAATGCATCTCCACAGATTATATTAAAACTTAGTAGATTGGAACTTTTCCAGTATACTCATTTAGCGCAATCTATCTACGAGTTTTAGTACCTCTGACAGAAATTGATGATTTATGAACATTTAAAGAGATTTGGTGAATATAATACAAGTGTGTAGTATCTTATTAAAGATCTTTGAGAGCTTATGATCATGGCTTATGCTTTGAAATATAGAATAACTAGTTCGGCAAATGGTAAAGGAACGAGATACTTTACTCGGACCAAAGTCGTTAAGACGGTGGTAACCTGTGCTGAACTCCTACTATCTAGAACTGTATCTATAAAATACGAACAGAGTGATACTTCGCCAGCAGCTTTTGTTATGACCTATAATTCCCGAACTTATAGAGAAAGTTCTCATCAAACTAAATATTTTTATTACCGTAATATTTTAATAAATTATGCTGATGATAATTCGTTCATGGGGAGGTATAAATATTGTTTAACGTTGTAGTCAAACTGATTCCTGTATATCATTTAGAGATCGAGGATCGATGTTGAATTTTCCTGACATGTCAAAACGTAACGTTTCGACAAAGGCCAACCTTATGTTAGATACGTGATTTAGCCAAGAACATTAATATCAGACGGAAAAACGGGAAAAAGCATCTTTACGGGCTTCCATAAATCTACAATATGTTTTAAAGGGTTTATCATTTCAGATGGTTCTGTTTGAGGTTATATATATATATTATACTATGCACAAAGGGATGAATCCACCCCAGATACTTGCCACAATTGGACAAGTATCGATATAAATCAGGAGCACAATGAACATTTGAGCATGAAATTTTCTAACTCCCCTCGGAATAAATAAATATTTTGTTTTACTTAAATGGACTTAAGTGACCATCGAGACAATGTGCTTGGTATTACATGGTACAAATATGCCTTGGCGACTGCTACAACGTAAATATGTTTTTACACTGCGATACACCTTAGATCCACTCAACAAACCAGCTAATTTTCACGCAATAGTTTTGGCTTGACTCACCTGGTTTTGACTTCCTTTGATTGCCACTCATTGTGCTTATCAAAACTGATAAGAATCGCTGCGATTTCCTGGAAATGTGCAAAAAAAAAGTCTATAAATGTTTGCTGTGATGCCAGAAATAAAAACTTAAATATACTTAAGTAAATATGAGCTCACAAGAATTAAGAAAATATTAGCTTTGCCATGGAATTATTCTGTGAGCATCATTGTTGTGACGGTACAGCGAAAAGCAAATAACGGGGTCTACAACTAAGTACAATTCTTTAATACACGTACGACATAGGTAGACATTTGGTGCGTGTACGCATGTGTGTATGTATTAATACACATATTGTTCAAGGTAGTCTTTTTTATTAAGAGAATCTTAAATTTTTATATTTTTTCTTAATATAGACGTATTTTATATACTTATGTACCATATATGCGAGTATGGGTGGCCCAAGATGCTATGTGTTTCTCTTATGAAAGATATCATTGTTATTATATACTTATTTTTATCTGATATTTGGAAGTTTGCGGGTAGACTCTCTCTCTCTCTTGCGTCAGTTTATGGAAAAGAGCAAACGACATTCACTATCTTTCACATGATCGGTGAAAGCAATCTACATACGATAATCATGCATTGTTTTATATACCATTTTTCAAGGACTAAGTTTTCCCGTTAATCGCGCCTCACAGAATTCAAATAAGGGCAGGTTAGGTTACGATGATTAAGTCCTCTTCTCTCAAAAAAAGGTGTTCTCTTTTCATTTTGTTGATCGAGTATTCACACTGCTCATTGTTAATTTTTCGTTCACAGGGACTAAACGATTTGTAAAGCAATTCAATAAGTGCTAGCCATCGGAATGTTAGTCAAGAGAGCTGATCCATTTATCCGAGCAAGGTTTATGTGGGTGTAGCGTAACGGTTTTAACCATACTGGGGAGACGAAAAATTTTGGAGCGGACGCTAAGTTTAAAGTTGGCTTGTAGGAGGCGGGGAGGAGATATCTTCACAAATTCTCCTGGATTGTCCAACTTTCACTAAAACGTCGTTGAAACATCTTGAATGTCATACAATCGGTGAACCGGACGATTTGAGAGAAATAAAACGAAACCGCCTCAACACTCAAAGCGTATCATCACCATTGTTTCAACTGTCCGAGCTGGATCCCCATGATCTCCATCGCGGTAATCAACCCCGAAACCAAACCTAACGTAACGTCAAATCGTACTATCAACTATACAAAATTATTCGTTGTCTTGGCACCTTGGATGAATTTTTGCTCAGTAAATTTTCGAATGTTTCTAAATAGCTTGAATCAACTATGCAATAAAATGTAAGAGAGATAATTGTATTTAACATATACTTATAATATAGGAGTTCTTGCAAACATAAATAGCATCATATTAAACAAATATTTAAATTTTTACCGCTCAACGCTTTCAATTACCTCTTCAGGCAGACGGCTCACGCAAAGTAAATCAAAACAAAAGTAAAGCTCTAAAATTTTATAGCGCACCCGTGGTGAATATGAGTGGTTTTATAAATCAAACTTAAGTTAATTAAGCGTCGCATAAATGTAGACTACACATACACACATACACAAGTGGTAAACTGAGCGGCAATACAAGCTAAGTAGTCACGGAGGTGAGGTAGAAGGGAAAGTAAAAGAAAAGAAAAGGCTGCTGCGAGCACTCAACAATTCTCAGGCACAACGCGTGCAACAAATCAAAGTTAAGAGTCAACCAAAGGGTTGGCATTCAAGTATTCATGGCAATTTGTTGTGGCAAATGCCACACACACAGGGATACACGAAGCCACAGCCGGAGAACGCCACTGGAATTTTTGGCTTGCGACAGCCACGCTGGACAGCCGCTCCTGTGGCGAAGCAGAGGAACTGCCGAAACGCATGAATATTTAATGCGAAAGCAGAAGAAGAGCATAAAACCCAACACGCAACACATGAAGCATATGTTGTGCCTTTATGAATGTGTGTGAGTGCATGTGTGTTTTGCATATGAAATACATCATAAATATTTTCGAACTAGTGGCAAAAGCAGGAACAAAAGCTAAACAACAATTTATAAGCGAAGTATTTGCTGAAAGTAGGGAATTGAAGGACATGCACACACAAATAAATCATACATGCATATGTGTGTATGTATGTAAGCCATATATCCATGCTGGCTGCAAGAAGATATAAGTGCGCGCATAAGGACAACGCTCATCGAATTAGACGTGGCACGCGGTTTTGCCGCAATCTAAGCCCTTCCAAACACAAATACACCTACATACATATAAACAGCAGTCGAAGGCGCAACAACACGCTGCAGCTAAGCTCTTGAATGCTTGCGGTGCTTACAAAAAGCACGGAAGTGATTTTAAAAATCAGCCTTTCACTTTTCTAGTCAAATATGCTTTTGGCATTCTTTATGACACTCAAAAATAAGACGCTTGACGAACACTTCATATTTGCCGAGTCATGAGTGCACATTTGTATTTATATAGTAGGGGCATTTACAGTGGCACGGAAGTAAATTCAGAACAGCTTTCGACAGCAAGCCAAAAAAATATGATCTTCTAGCTGCTTTCATTCGGGAAGCTTTCACTACTAATTACAATTATAATTTTAGAGATGAAAGCATACTTTGATCCTTAATGGAAAACAACAACTATGAAGTTATCATAAATTATAAGTAAAAAGGTGACGTACCAATGAGCAGTACGAAGAAAAATCAAAAGTTTAGAAAATGAGAGTTTGATCACTTTGAGTTAAGAGATTTTTCTTAAAAATCACAAAAAGAAGGTAAAAGATCACTTTAGAAGAAAAATGAGTTTTCACAAAAAATCAAAAGTTCTGATAATGTCAATTTGGATATTTTAGTCCGAAGATATTTCATGTATTATAGAAATTAAATTGTTATTTGAAATAGAGAGGTAAGTAAGCAGAACTGAAAGCGACAAACTTTAAGGGAGACATTTTTACATAAGTCGAAGAAAAGGTGAGAGCGTGACTAACTCCCAGATAAATGGATTTAAGCCCTAGTCGGAACAAAATATTAAATTTTAGTGACTATAAGCACTAAGTAGTTAATATTCTTAGTTACAGCGTATCTCTGACCAGTAAATATGTCTTATAAAAATTCAGCTGTTCGAAGACAATTCAAAATTTGTCGGATAACACGAAGATTCAGAACAGAAATCGGTGGAAAGATGGGCCAAGCATATAGTAATGGCGTAAACACCGATATTTGGATGTAACTCATGGTCAGAATGCTAGGTGTACATTTATGTTGTGCTATACTTAAATTTTTTTACCCTGAACAGGGGTAATACACCCTATAGTTTACCACGAAATTTGTAACACATAGGAGGAAATGACGGAAACCCTATAAAACGTATATATAAATCATCAGCATAAGGAGCTGAGTAGATTTAACCATGCCCAGGTCGGACATTAGTTGCCATACAAACTGACCAATCAAAATCAAGTTCTGGTATAGAGTTTTCTGTATTTGTCAAGGGTATTAAGGTTCGGTGCAACCGAAGTTAACGTTTTTCAATGTTCATTTACTTTCTTATTAGAAAAAATATTTCAAAATAGAAATTTATTAGAGTTTCAATTTTTAATACCAAGATCGGGATTTAAAAATGCAAATTAATCTTGGGTTTAAAAACTAGACTTTAATTTTTTAATCGCAATGTTGGGAATACATTTTTAATCTGGTTGTTGGGGTCAACATTTTTATTTTTTTTTTCAATTTAATATTTGGGATTAAAATTTATTTTATTTTTGTAGTTTTTAATCCCGTATTTAGGATTACAAAATAAAAAAATGTAATTTAAATGTTATTTAAATTATTAATATAACTATTTTTACTACTAGTGGAAGTCATAGTATTCGATCCTTCTTTACCGACATATACAATATAAACTCGATCGGCATATTAATTAAAAATATTCAATAAAATAATATTTAACAAAAAATTTATTACGATATCTGTGGAAAAAATTTAAAAAAAATTTTGTGACTTGATTAAAATAATTATATATTTAGGTTAAAAAATTCAATTTATTCGTGAGTTCAGCACAAGTCGGAGAAGATTGAACAACCTTCCACAATAGTATAAGTGTAAAAATGTGTTTTCACAAAAATAATAATTTCTGCCTATGCATTCAGCGACAACATTGTCTAGAGATCAGCAATGATAAATTCGCGAGGATATCCAAACCACTTCAATTATTCATAAAACGTCAAGAATGGCAAACAAATTGATAAGTTCAGCGTAAATACACAACAGCAGCCGCTCAACAACAACACTCGAATATGTTTCCAATTCAAAGAGCAATACACTTTTTGAGCGCCAGTGGATAAGTAGAGTAAATCGCCTAGGGCACTCAACGCAAGCTTTTACGCTTCACTCAGAAAGAGCATAATTTCGCTGATGGTGACACTTTTTCCCGCAGGGCATTTGCGAATTTTTTCTGAGGTCACACACACACATGCAAGTAAGCAAGCTATTTGATTGAGAAATAGGAATATTTATTTATTATACAAATCACATTCGATCCTCGTTTGCATTTTTATTTTGAGTGAAAGGTCGCGCCAGCTAACATCTGGCAGCGCAATCGCCCTTTCGCATCCTTCCTTTGACCTCCACGATATATGAAGAGTAATAGACGGAATAGGATTTGGTACGTGCTGACATAAGCAAGAGTTATTATTTATGTGCATGTATGCATTTTATATGTATGTGTTTGTAGTTTCACATGGTTATTTGGCTGTAATGCTTGAAAGAGGAAACAAGTTCGCCTTTAAGTACAGACAATTCGGTTGATTTATCGCTTGCTATATTGTTAAGAATGCACTAATCGATTGAAACATTGCAACGAACAGCAATTGAATAACAATTCACAATATATGTATATACACACATACATACATTCAGTATATTCTTATTTAAAGGATTCGATTTTCGACAAAAAGAATACGGCAGCGAATTCTGCCAACGGCGCCTCTCTGTGGGTTTTTTGGCAACTCAATAATTTTAAATGACAATTTATTACTTTACTTTTATAGAGAACA